ATGGTCCGACATACAGTACAAGCTAAAAAACTATTCAATAATTGATACCTTTAAGCATCCTCATTCACTGAAAACTTAATAAAACTGTACTTGAGAATTTTCCATGATTCCCTCCCCTCTGTGCTACGAAGCCAAGCCTCAAGTYCCTCCATGAGCGGGTCCTAATTCTACTTGTCAATATGCCCCCTCACTCACCCATACCAGACCTCAGGAACACTGAAATAATCTCTGTTCATTGTGGACAATCCCCAAAGTCTTCCCATCAACATCAGCCAAAATCACTTTGTCCTCCATGCTACGTGTTTCAATCATCCCCTCCTTTCCAAACTCCCCTTTAACATCACCTTAATTTGCCCATCCTCACCCTTTTTAATTCACTCTCTATCCCTGTATGCCTCAGGGGTCTTGGCCATCCTAGGGTATACCCGAGTTACACAAATGAGTGAATATTTTATAGATAAATAAGATGCAGGTTTCTCACTGTCAAAGAAAGAAGTAACATAGAAGGAAAGAGAGAAAGCTAACGAGGACCCTGTGGCGTTGACTAGAATTGGAGATGTTAAGTATGAACTCGGGGCTTTTTAATAGAAAGACGGATACCCGTGTATGTATGAGTTCACACACGTGCATGGAGATCCTCACTCTGGTTCCAGGAAGAGCCTGAAATGGCATCCTGGCAGCAACGAGCATCCCTAGCCTCCGTGTTTGGGTTTCTAATTCCCATTCTCCAATAATAGGTACCAGGGCTCCTTGGAAACATGACTGATTCCAGGGCTGAGGCAAGGAAAATACAAGACGAGCCTGGCACACCCTGTGATTCCGGAAACTAATACAGTGCTCACCACACCATGGAGCACACCAAAAGGACATAGAAGTCAACCTAAGGAGCTCCCAATGACCAAAGTTGGAACCACCTAAGCCACAAAATAAACAACTGTTTTGGATATAAAGGGTAAGGATTCTTTGGATTATATCTGGGATATACAACCTATGGAATATGAAAAATACCCATGAGTTCATCCAGATAAAAATATTTAATTAACTGGGAAAAAAGGAAAGCTCTTTCTTATAGAAGAATTTTTCCAATGAATAAATGGGAGAAATAGAAAATCATTAATTTGTCCATTAAATGATAAGGAGCCACCAAGGCAACCCTATGTTTCTGGATCTCATCTCCAGAATAAATGATCCACAATGTCTGAGTCAATAAGTTGTCTCCTCTTCCATTTTTACAAACTCAGATGGAGCAAAGGTCACTGCCACTATTTTGTCATTAAGGAAGCAGAGGTGCTCGACCATGACCTAGGAGCTAAAGGACCCAGCTCGAGGTCCAAAATGGTTCAATTACAACCCTGAATTTTATTTCTTCTCTTGAGTTACTGGTTCTTCTGTGATCTATCAAAATTCTAATCATGTTTCAAGATCCAGCATACTTCTCCAAGAGTCCCCAGTGTTATTGGAACTCATTTGTTTGCAGTTAACGGTAAACCCAAACTAATCAAAAAAATAAGAAATTCCTGGCAGATACAACTGTAGGGGATAGTGGTAGTCCAGCTTCAGGTTCAGGAAGATCTAGGGACTCAACTGTCTTTGAAATACCAGCTCCATTCATAGATGGGCTTTCCCTTCATAGTGACAAGACTGTCAGCAGCTCTAAGCCTACATTCTATACTTTCAATTAACCCCACAGAAAAGAGAGAGATGGTATTCTTTAAAAAAAAAAAAAAAAAAGTCTTAGACCTGATGTTCACTGGCCAAAACTGGCTCAAATGCCAATCCTTGCATCAATTTCTAGAGCCCAGCAGAATGAAATCTACCAATTAATTAACTGCCTAACAAGAGTGAGGTGAATCCTACTGAAATGTGATACAGTGTACGTGAGAGAGGCTGATTCTCCAAAGGAAGTTCTGGATGCTGTTCCCCACAATAAGAATGGATCCTCAGCTGCTAAATTAACAAATGTCCACTCCATTTCAACCCCTTGGTCAGAATCAACTCTATCCTGCAACCTCCCATTCTCTGCCTGGACATCTACACCGGCAATGACCTCCTTCTGCTTTATGGATGGATCAGGTCCCACAAGTCAGTTTATGAGCATCCTGGGCATTAGAAATCTAGTTCTCCAAAGCACCTGAGCCCCTTTTCTAACCCCCAGGGGGTCAGTAAAGTGCCACAGTGCCCCTAGAACCTACTTCTTCACGTAGGCTCCCCACCCTCCTAGTGCAGAGCTACTTCAGCGAGAGCCCAATCCGCCAATGCCAACCTTGAAAGTGCTTCTCGAAGTCACTGCCTGTCTCTGTGACAAACCCTGGAACTTGGAGATGCTTGACAGGTGAGATAATTATGTTTTATCTTTTGCTCATTCTTTTATCAGCCATGATGAGAATGGATAAGCATCCCAATGGAAGAAAACACTCCCACAGTATCTACTCCTGCTCTTTTTTATGCCAGCCAGTTTCCCCTTCCCAGGCACAACTCCTGCACACCAGCCTATACCCTGTTATCTGGTGTATCCAGCCACCACGTGCTGCCCTCTCGTCAAATGCCAGGCTCCACTTTCCTTACCACATCCCCAAGCTGTCAATTTCTCCAGGGGCTGTGGCACCACTGTCTTTCAGGTGACCTACACACTGACAGCCAACTGTCTTCACAACAGTCAGCACTGCCCTCTCTGCACAGTCTCCAAGGCAGAGACCTGGCCTGGGTCTTGGCCCGGACCTCTCTGCAGAATGTCATTCTGGTGTGTTCCAAGGTTAGATGGAGAAAAGAGATAGGAAAGAGCAGAGGGCATTAAGTCTCAAAGGCAGGAGCTCCTAAGTGCTCCAATAAAACCAACAGTTCGAGCTGGGGTTGTAGCTCAGTAGTAGAGCACTTGCCTAGCATGCATGAGGCACTGGGTTCGATCCCCAGCACCACATAAAAAGTATATAAACAGTCAACCAATTCATGATGCTTAAAAAAAAATAACAGTTCATTCATTCATTTGTTTTATACCTTTTACTGAGAACCAGCTGTGTCCAGGGTACTCACGAGTAATGCAGACCTGGAGATACAGCACAAGAGTCTCTGTCCACAGAGTACCTTCTGAGACATCAGACTCGTTTTCATATTGGCTTTACATTTTGCAAGGACTGTCTCAAGCATTATCTACATCATCCTCAGTAAGTGGTATAAGGATCTCTATTTAGACACAAGGGAAAGGGCCATTCCAAAAGGCTAGATGACCCTCCCAAAGCCACAGAAAACTCAGGTGTTCTGACTACAAACCTTTTACTCTCTCTGGAGCTTCTCCAAAGGCAAGGAACTAGCAGGGCATAACCTGACATTGAACCAGACATTAAATTGACTCAGTCCTAAGCATCATTGCTAAAGATAGAACATACAAAAGAAAAGGCCCAAAACTTCACCAAAGGAACCAACAGTCTAAAGAGACAGAACGACATGTAACCAACTATCATCTGTGGCAGGAATAAAGATAGAGTGATTATATGAAAATAGGAAGATATCTCTAGAAAGACACACAAGAAGTAATGATTGCCTCCAGACAGGAAAATTGGGTACCTGAAGAACCAGGGTAGAAGGGTTATTTTGTCTGTTTCAAATATTGTGTATTTTGAATTGTGTGCCATTTATATGTACTTCCCATTAAACAACACTTTGAGCATACAATCGACCAAATCTTGAATACAGAAAATTCTACATGATAAATTATCTAGCTTCTTCAATAAGCAAATAGCTAAATACAAAAAAATAAATAAATAAGGGAGGGAGAAGAAATGTTATAGACTTTAAAAGAGTCAGGAAATGCCAACCAAATGCAAAACATGTACCTTGTTTGGATCCAGACTGAAACAAAAAATTTACTCTATTTTATGTGTAACTAAGAAGAAAAAATTAAATTTAAAAAAACAGGTATTTGGGGGACAAGGGAGTTTTGAACATGAACTAGCTGTTAGAGGCTATTAAAGAATTGTTAATCTTGTTAGGTATGATCACAGTATTGTGATTATGTTTTTAAAGGTTCTTATCTATTAGAGATGCATACTGAAGCATTTACAGATGAAACAGTATAATTTCTCAAGCTGGATCACGGTTCCACAGGAGGTTATTATACTATTTTCTCTTCTCTTGTGGAGGGTTCTCATTTCCATAATGAAAAGTTTAAATAAAAAATTTAAAAATTGGGCTGGCTCTGTAGCTCAATGGTAGAGTGCTTGCCTAGCACGCGTGAGGCACTGGGTTCGATTCTCAGCACCACATAAAAATAAAATATTGTGTCCACCTACAACTAAAAAATAAATGATTAAAAAAACTAAAAAATTAATTATCCCATCCATATAGTATGTCTGAGAAGGAAGGCATCATAGAGAGGAGATCCAAACTCAGTCCAGAAAGAGGACTAGTAATTTCCTAAGGGCAAGAGGGCATTCCAGCTAAGGAGACCACCAAACAAACATATGAAAATCTATCCAAACCTCTCTCTGGGGGAGCAATGTATGTATGTTTGGCTTTAGGCTCAACCTACATTCCTTCCCTGCAAAATCCCTCTTACTTGATCCCCCAACTCTCTGGAGTATCCAGATGAAACATCTATGTCAACTCCCCGGTTCCAAGTGAGGAGAGARATCCTGAGATTGACAGCTCCACTTCTCCAAGAGGCCCCTAAGAAGTCCTCAGAGGACAGGGAGCAAACTGACCTCTTTCAGTTGGGTTTTGCCTAACAAAGCAATTTAGAAGCAGCTGAGTTATCCCAGGGACAGAGCCTACATCCCTCCTGAATCATTCCCCAAAGCACCTCCTAGCTAAGAGCCAGGGGACCCAGCCAGATGCAGGTCTGGCAGCCATACTGATAGGCACTACAACACCCCCACATGGCAAATAGTCCCCACATCAGTACCGTCTGTCTTCTGCCACCTCCAACTGCCTACAGGAAGCTTACTGGCTGTGCAGTCACTTCAGACTTATCCACCTGGCTCAGACGGGTCCCATTGGTCCCTTACCTTGGATCGCAGCTGAAAGTACTCCTCTGAGCCATAGGGAACACTCCTCAGGGAGGTGAGGTAGTCATAACTGATGACAGCTGTCTGTAAACCAAGGGAGGGGAGAGCTTAGCACTCGGACAGCACATTCTGCTCCTCTGCCCCAACCCTGCAGCTGCAGCCCCTCACATGGGCTGCTAGGTCTGCAGGAAGGGCAGGTCCCACCCTTCAGATGCTCTGCCCCCCAGTCTCAGCCTGGCTGGTTTCCTCCTGATTCAGAGCTCTCCACAAAGCCCCATCTGCAGAGAGGCCCAATCTAAGGTTGCCCCATCCACCAGGAACTCTCAACTCTTTCTTATAATAAACCATCACCTAAAATTATCCTCTTCATGTTTCCTTATTTATGAACTGTTTGAATTTAAGCTCTATAAACACCAGGACAGGTCCTTCCTGTTCATCATGGTACCCCTGGGTTAGTCAGCTTATCATTGTTGTGACCAAAATACTTAACAAGAACAACTTAGAGGGAAAAAAATTATTTTGAGCTCCACGGTAGACGGACTCCATTGCTCTGAGCCCAGGGTGAGRCAGAACACCAGGGCGGAAGGGCATGGGGGAGAAGCATTGCTCCCCTCATGGTGACCAAGAAGCAGAGAGAGCAGGGGGCTGAGGGAAGAACCCATCCAGGGCATGCCCCCAGCGACTCCCCTCCTCCAACCACGCCCCAGCTGCCTACAGTTACCACCCAGTGAGTGCATTCAAACTAGGSTGGATCAATAGGCTATCACTCTCACAGTCCAATCATTTCACCTCCTGCCTTGACACAGGAGCTTCTGGGAGACACCTCWCATACAAACCAGGACAGCCTCCAATACCTTTCACATCGCCAAGCACAAAGGCAGATGCTCAATAAATATTAATTGAAAGAATGCTGTTAAACTTATCCCACTTCTCTATATCACAAATAAACATTGTATATTTATGGTTGTTYTCATAGTTTTGATTCTGGATTCCATTGCCAAAATTCCTGGAGAGGATCTCCTATCCTTGGTGAATCAGAAATTGATAGGCTCCCTGGTATCTCSTGCATGGAGGAGCCTTGAGGATTAGCAAGCCAAACCTTCCTTTTTAGAATTGAGCAACTGAGGACCCTAGAAATTAGCTCACAAGATTTACATTAAAAATTCTGTTTCTTAAGTTGCGCCTCCATTTGTGTATAATGAAACGAAATGCATTCTGCTGTCATGTATACCTAATTAGAATAATAAATAAATGATCTTATATTTGTGAATTAATCCATTATATTTCATATGATTGTGATTCATTCCTTTTTCTTGTTGCATAGGACTTCACTGTGATTTTATAAACACACTCATACATGTATACGTATATGTACATATATATATGCATCCATGAATAATGAATTTTGATTTTACTGTTTATGACTATTTGGACTGGTTTAAGTTATGAAGAATTTTGCTTTGCATCTTTAAAAAAAACATTATTTTATTTATTTTTGTTTGTTTGTTTTTGTTGTTTTTAATTGTATATGGACTCAATGCCTTTATTTGTTTTTATGTGGTGCTAGGATMGAACCCAGTGCCTCATGCATGCTAGGCAAGCACTCTACCACTGAGCCACAACCCCAGCCCCTATTTATTTATTTTTATGTGACGCTGAGGATCAAACCTAGTGCCTCATACTTGTAAGGCAAGCGCTCTGCCACTGAGCCACAATCCTAGCTCTTGCTTTGCATCTTTTAATGCATGTCTTTTTGTTGTTCTCATGCACATTTTAGTCCTGGGTAACTGCCCAGGAAAGAATTACTGGTTTGTAGTAATTATTAATAATAATTATATACATGTACATAATTACTAATGTATTTTGATTTAAATCGATGKGCTTTTTATTTGCCCCATCTGTTCTTATATGTACTCTTTCTTTTCTTTCCTGTTTTATTTTGGAATTATTTACTATTTTTAAAATTATTCTATTTCTACCTCTGTTAGTTTTTCCTCTTCTTTTACTGTTTACCCTAGGAATGACCATATGCACTATAGATTTATTCAAGTTGTATAAATTATTAATTTGATCTTGACAAAGTGAAGACCTTAGAACACTTAAATACCAATGGCTTTTTGAGTATCTAAATTCTCTGTATATTTTYAACTCCATTTTATTGATATTGTATATTAAAGTTAGCATTAATTTAGACTTCCAAAAAAATATTCTTATTTCTTTGTCTGCACTCTCCAAAGCATAATTTCATCCAATATATACTTATTAAACATCAACCATGAACAAGACCTAGTCACTGAACAGTGTACTAGGGTGATCAAGACCAAAACTCTAAAGAAGATGTACCTTTGTGGCTMGTTTATAAAGAACTGGTTCATGCTTCCAGACTCCTTTCCAACCATTCAAATCCCAAAGCTTAAGCTTCCCCCAGGATACTCATCCTGACTCCTGGGTACCAGCCATCACTGTGTCTGATTATAGCATCAGTCTTGAACCATGTGTCTTTAGATTGCACTCTTTTTTTTTATTATTATTTTTTTTTCTTGAGATGGAGTCTCACTATGTTTCCCAGGTTGGCCTCAAACACGATTCTCACACCTCAGACTCCCAAGTAGCTGGGACTACAGACTCTCACCACCAGGCCCACTTTTAGATTGCTTTTTAACCCACTGATGTCTGCTGGTGTGGGCACTCCTTGTCCAGAAGCTCTTTCAAAGCTGGGTCTAGGTGGGACAGTTTATTTCTACCCTTCCAAGCAAGCAAATAAGGCAGTATTGGACCCAAAAAAGGTACCTGGTGATTTTTTCGTATTTCATAGCCCAGGTACCTGCCTTGGTTTGTGACTCAGCCTACCCTTAAGGACAGTCATCATATCAGGGCCTTCTCCTCTGAGCCAGACTCGAGAAAACATTTGATAATACTGAGTACTGGGGAAATAACAATAACAACCAAAACAGAGTTGTATCTTAATACATATCCACATCAGGGATATCAAGGGGAAGAAAGGATGTGCTCATTTKCAGCAAAGGAGAGAAAGCCTGAGATATGGGCCAACCTACCTACCAGTGGGGCTACAATTATTGATCTGGGACTATGGGTCCCAGCAATGTCTGGGAGAGTAGCTCTCAGCAGTTAAGAGGACATGATTACCCCAGGACAATATTACCATTGAGTCACAGGAGAAAACCTCYAGAGGTCAAATATTCAACTCAGATTCTCTGTCAATTAGGGAATCAAAGGAGACTCTCAAAGTCCTCCAAGGCCCACACACTGAGGATGAGTCCAGTATCAGAACTTCTCATACCAGCTTATGGCAGCAAGATCAAGTTTGCTGGTAAAATTTATTCTGCAGTCTTCTTTTCACAAAGTCTTCCTTCCGTGTCATTTACTGAGGAGCACTGCCCCTCAGAGTCATGACCAAATAAGATACAGAAACTAAAATGTAGAGACCTTAGACCAGAGACTTCATGCAATCTCAATCCTGCTCTATTTAACCACAGAGTGCCAGGATGTGTGGACAGGAATGCAGGCAGATGAGCATGYGTGTCCATGTCTGTGCAGCTGTGTAGATGGAGCTATGGTCCATGTAAGGGTATCTCCACATGTGTATGACCAGCATGCCCATTTGCTACATGTCTGAACACCTGCAAGGAATACTGCAGTTCCTCTGCTTCCCCCAAATGARAATAACCTACCGTAGCAACTGCTCTGCCCACCCTGATGGCACCAAAGTCATTAGGGTCCAGATACTTGTTACTGTAGAGGAAGCCACCAGAGGCAGCAAGAGCCATGCTGGTCCATGAAGCAAACTTGAGAGCCTTTCTAGCCATGTCCCCCGACCTGGAGAAGAAAATAAAGTCAAGAAAGATTAGCAGTTAAGGATTTCATAGTGAGTCAATCCAGGATTCAAATCCTGGCTCTGCCATTTRTAGATTGTACGACCTTGGGTCGTTTTCTTAATCTCATTGAGCCTGTTTCCTCATCTGTGAAATAGGGTGATACCTCAAACTTGTCAGAATAAAATGAGATGATGTACATAAAATCCTTAGCATACTACCTGGCACAAGTTAATTCTCCAAATCCTTCCTTCAATAGTACCAGGCACTGCCTTGGAGACAGGACAGAGTGAATAAAACAAAGTTCTTRCTCATATAGATTGCATGCTAGTGGGGGATGACAGATGGAAAGAAAAGAGATATATGATACCTAGAATATCAGAGCTGCTATTAAGTGAGAGGAAGAGAAGCGAAGAGGATAGGGGTACAGAGAGACRAGGAGTGCTATTTTAGATAGGAAAGGGAGAAGAGCAAGTTGACCACTGCTATTTGAAGTTTTATTCTACCAGCATACACACTTGGGCATCAATAATAGCCTTTGTGCCCAAGTCAAAAGTGGTCAGGTCCCCACCAAAATGGCAGCCAGTAGGTCCCCTACATGTGGCTGGTTTTCAAAATACTACTGTGGTTAGAGTAGACACCCCTTTAAACCCCATGACTGGTACCTATTTCATCCATTCACTGCAGGGTGACTTAGGGTTAGACACCAAATCATGCTATTGGTTAGTGTGGATCGCTCCCCTCCATGCACCATGTGGCTATACAGTCAACCTTTGGCCAGCGTACCCAATGGGCTGCTCCCTTGTAGTTCCTAAGCATCTGTATCAGACTAAGGTCCTTGACCCCAGCTACAGCTGCCAAGGGAGGCCCCACACAGAAGTGCACCAAACCACCTGCCAATATAAACCCCTGCACAGGTTCCAACACAGGTCATCACCCTGGCTCCTGCTCCAGACCCAGTCTGTGACCATCACTGTCCCGTTCTATGCCTCTGTTTCCCCTTTGTATGGAAGCTACTGCTACAAATAACCTTGTGTTCATTTTCTTTAAAGTCTATTTTGACTCATGCCTTCATAATATAGCCCCAGACTTTTTTCAAGTATTCACAAGACATCTCTCTTTCAATACTTTCACTTTCAACTTACATTTTACAGTGTCTCTAAAGATACAGTTGATTGTCTTATGTTTTCAGCCTTCTTTTGCTAACCCAGCCATTGCCAAGTATGGTCAACCTGCGTGCGGCTTCAAATATGCAGGTTGCTCCAATCCACCCTGTGGCCCACTGAACCACGACTCTGGGGATAAGACTCAGGAATCTATTTTTGCTATGTTCTTGATTTTTTTTTTCCTCCACATATTCTTATATTTTTTCCAGATTTTTTATTGGTTCATTATAACTATACATCTGGTGGGATTCACTGTTACCTATTCATAGGTGTACATGATATAACAATATAATTTGGTCAAACCATCACCCAGTATTTCTCCTTTGCCTTCCCTCCCCTCTCCCCAGGTCCCTTCTGTTAGGAGCCACAGCAAAAATATTGATACAGGCACCTTTGGATTTAGTGACTGCCAGCCAGTAATTCACATTCATATGGTAATTGGACTCATGCTGTTTAGCTGGGCCCATTTCAGGACTCAGGTTACTCATGTCACTCTTGTAATGGGAGAGTTCCCATTGGTTGGGAAAGGATGGTAGGAGGGTGTTCCGGGGGAAGTGGAGGCCCCCCGGCTCAGGTAGAACACACACGTGGTGGACCCACTTGTTAGGGGACGCACACACGGCCTCTCTCTAAATAAAACTTTGTCTCAGTTTGACTGGCTTGTGTTTTTGTGCCCAACTGGGTTGTAAGATTGCAAGCCCACGTGCACTGACAGCTCAGCAGGGAATCGCTCAGCAGGGGTGCCGCAGGCAGTGCTCGGAGATAGCAGCAGCAGGAACCGGGCTCAGCCAGCCCGCTCAACCCGCGGCCCGCGAGCCGCCTGCGGCACCCTTCCCTCTTCTCCACTGGTCTCCCTTCAATTTTCATGAGATCCATCCCGACACACACSTTTCTTTAACTTTTTTCTCTCTAGCTTCCACACGTGAGAGAAAATATACGCCCCATTATGGTTTGGATGTGAGGTGTCCCCCAAAAGCTCCTGTGTTAATGCAGGAATATTCGGAGGTAGAAATTATTAGATTACCAGAGAGCTGTGACCTGATCAGTCCATCCTAGTTTGAGTGACCTATCTGGGTGATAACTGTAGGCAGGTGGGGCCAGGCTGGAGGCAGTAGGTCACTGGGTGTGCCAGGGTTCATCATCCCTGCAGCCCCTCCACCTGCTCTCTCTGCCTCCAGTCACCATGAGATAAACAGCCTTGGGCTGGGGATGTGGCTCAAGCGGTAGCRCGCTYGCCTGGCATGCGTGCAGCCCGGGTTCGATCCTCAGCACCACATACAAACAAAGATGTTGTGTCTGCCGAAAACTGAAAAATAAATATTAAAATTCTCTCTTCTTCCCTCCCCCCCCCCCCCCCCCCGCTCTCTCTCTCTTAAAAAAAAAAAAAAAAAGAGATAAACAGCCTGCCTTGGCCATCGCCCTTGCGCCATGATGTTCTGCTTCATCTCAGGACCAAAGTGATGGAATCCATCGAGCTTGGACTGAACCTCTAAAACTATAACCCAAAATAAACATTTCCTCCTCTAGGTTGTTACTGTCAGGTAGTTTAGTCACACCAACAAAAAGTTGACTAACACAAAAATGAGATGATGTACATAAAGAGGGCTGTTGCTCCAACTCACCTGACTGTGTGGTTCAGAAGTCTTTAGAACTGGTTTATGGAACAGTTTGGGAATGCAGTCTAGAAGGGCCTTTGTAAGCATAGGTTAATGGGTGATGCTGGTGGGAGTGCAGAAGACTAGAATACCAGCAGGAATGCAAAGAGTAAATAAAAATTGTGCTTAGGAGATTTCAGAGGGGAAACATATTTGGAAATTGGACTAAGGACTTCACATTACATTCTATCAAAGAACTTGTCTGCATTTTTTGCCCACATTCTGAGACTTAGTATGAAGCTGAATTTAAAGGTAATTAAYCTGGCAGAGCAAATTTCAAGGTAGCACAGCATTCATGCAGTGGCATAAATATTGCTAACAGTTTTTAACTAGGTTTACTGCAAGAATCAGGAGCAGACAGAAGAGYCCAAGAATTTTTGAAACTTGAAGTTTGGCCAGAAAAGTGCATGTAAAATTGGGGCCAAGGGAAGTGCGGTTGTTGAAGGCATTTAAGTACTTTGCAYAGAGACAATAGGAAAGATGTTGGAGGRCATCTCGGGAATTTGCAAGCCCACACCCCACTGCAGGCTCAAGCATACAGAAATGAAAACTCCTTTAAGAGACCATGGGGGTACCCTACCCCCACAGGGGTGCCCARAAAACTGCTTCTCCAGGAGTCATTTTACTGTCCTCAGTCACCAAAGCAACTGCAGTTGGGGTCCAAGGAGACCTGGCTTCTGCTCAAGCAGCAAACCTTGGTATCATGGTGCCAGTTCTACAGGAATGCAGGATATTGGGGTTAAGAGGTCTTGGGGGCATCCACCAGATTTTAAAGAAAGGCCTAGAAGGCCAGGCAAAGTGTAGTAGGGTCAGAATGCCTGAGGGCTGCCAATGAGAGGGTGATGTATGAAGTTGTAAAGGTGAAGCCCAAGCTGCAGTTGAGACCCCCCAGTTTAAGACATGCCAGTCACGTGGACCGTCTATGGAGGAAAGCTACTGGCTATAGAGAAAGCCCGGCTAACAAAGAGGCCTTGTCAGGGACAAAGGATGGGGTGGCCCARGCACTTTGAAGAGAACTTCGTGCCACCACGTACCCCAGATGCTGTATATGGAGCTATTGGACCTAATGATTGCCCAGCTGGGTTTCAGTCTTACTTTGGTTCCATCCCTTCCTTCTATGCCTATATTTCTCCCTCTAGGATTGGGAATGTCTATTCTGTGTCACGGTGTATTGGATATACGTAACTTGCTTTTGGTTTTTACAAGGGCTCAMAGCCAAGAGTGTGCCTTGAGTCTGAGAGGAGACTTTGAACTTGGACTTTTGAAACTGTTAAGACTATGGGGATTCTTGAAGATGGACTAAATGCATTTTGCATTGTAATGTGGACATGAGCTTTTGAGCAAATGGAATGGTTTGGATATGAGGTGTTTCCCAAAAGCCCCTATGTAAATGCAGGAATATTCAAAGAATATGACTCAATTTTGAGAGCTGTAACTTGATTAGTCCATCTAGTTTGAATGAACAAACTGGGTGGTAATGTAGACAGATGGGATGTGGTTGGAGAAGGTGGGTCATGGGGTGGGGGGTGCCCTGGAAGGCTTCATCTTACCTATGGCCCCTTCTCCCTGCCCCCACCACGGTCTCTGCTTCCCAGTTGCCATGAGCTGAACACCACGGTCTCTGCTTCCCAGTTGCCATGAGCTGAACAGCTTTACTCCATCACTGCCCTTCTACCATGGTGTTCTGCCTCACCTCTGGCCAAAAGTGAGAGTTGGCCAAGACTGCTAAAACCATGAGCCCAGAATAAAATTTCCTCTTCTCAATTGATCTTGTAAGGTAGCTGGTAACCAGTGACAAAAGGCTAAAACTCAATCCTTGGCACACCACACAGTCATGTAAATACTGCTGCTATCATCCTATGTTATGGACAAGATCCTACCATGAGGTGAGCAGCTCTCCTCCAACGGGCCCTTCCCCCGTGATGTGCAGCCTCACCTTGGGCCCAGAGCAATGGAGTCAGCCATGTATGGACCAAAACCTCTGAAGCCCCAAATAAACTTTCCCTCCTCTAAGTTATTCTGATTGGGTATTTTGGTCAAAGTGACACAAAAGCTGAACAAAATAGTATTGATTTCTAATTTCATTCCACGATGATCAGACAAAATCCAAGAAATTACTTTTTTTTTTTTTTGGATTTGCTAAGAGTTGCTTTGTGGCCTAACATACAGTCTATTTTGGAGAA